GGGTACGCACCCCTGCATGAGCCCCCTAGATCCGCCCCTGCTTGCAGTGCTGTGAACCCAATCCACCTCAATGGGCTGCATGGTATTGTAAAGCTAATTCTGTCTTATTTTTGTCTTCTTCAGGTTACACTTGATTACCGGGGTGTTATCGATGAAACATTGGATCAGAAGGACTGTGCCAGTGTCCCCCCTGCTGTTCGTTCATACTAGGCAACGAAATACCGACAAAAAATGAACGTATTTCCCTGGGGGAACAGGGGCGGCGGTCGACACTTAAAATGAATATATGATTTGTTTATCTTCTTAAATATTTCTTGTAAAAAGCTACGGAAAGGAAGAGATTTTTTTTTTTTACCCGTTGACTGAAGAGAAAGAAAGAGTAAATTCTCGTAAATGAATTTCTGTAACAAACAGAACTGTTCGAGTTGTAACTTGGTTTAGTATGGTGTTAATAGAGCAGTTTTCGTTGGCTTTTTATACCTATGTGTGTACTTTAGTCTAATGGACCCTGTGATTGGTAGAAAATAATCTTTCAACCAATGAGCACTAACGTCCTTTTTTTCGTTCAGTCATGTCCCGAACCTAAAGTAATTGTGTCTTGCCTTACGTCTATTTTCCTGCGCTTGGCGCTTGTTGCAAGTTTTCCCGCGCTTTGCACCGGTTACAAGGATTTTTTTTTACCACGATTGTGATTGGTACATCGCACTATCCGAGCGGCTTGGTGATTGGCTAGATATGGCTAGTTTGAAACTAACAGCTGGAGTATGCGGCCCAGTTTTCTCTGAGCGATCAGTGAGCAGAACCCAGCCGAGTNCCTAGATCCGCCCCTGCTTGCAGTGCTGTGAACCCAATCCACCTCAATGGGCTGCATGGTATTGTAAAGCTAATTCTGTCTTATTTTTGTCTTCTTCAGGTTACACTTGATTACCGGGGTGTTATCGATGAAACATTGGATCAGAAGGACTGTGCCAGTGTCCCCCCTGCTGTTCGTTCATACTAGGCAACGAAATACCGACAAAAAATGAACGTATTTCCCTGGGGGAACAGGGGCGGCGGTCGACACTTAAAATGAATATATGATTTGTTTATCTTCTTAAATATTTCTTGTAAAAAGCTACGGAAAGGAAGAGATTTTTTTTACCGGTTGACTGAAGAGAAAGAAAGAATAAATTCTCGTAAATGAATTTCAGTAACAAACAGAACTGTTCGAGTTGTAACTTGGTGTAGTATGGTATTAATAGAACAGTACTGTTTTCGTTTGCTTTTTATACTTATGTGTGTAGTTTGGTGTTAAATCCAATGGGCTCAGTGATTGGTTGAAAATAGTCGTTCAACCTATACGCGCAAACGTCTATATTTTGGTCCAATCATGTACCGAACCGAAAGTAATTGTGTCTTGCCTTACGTCTATTTTCCTGCGCTTGGCGCTTGTTGCAAGTTTTCCCGTGCTTTGCTCCGGTTACAAGGTTTTTTTTTTTTTACCACGATTGTGATTGGTACATCGCACCATCCGAAGGCCTTGCTGATTGGCTACATATGGCTAGTTTTGAAACTAACAGCTGGAGTATGCGGCCCAGTTTTCTCTGAGCGATCAGTGAGCAGAACCCAGCCGAGTTGGCTATCACTTAGAAAACGAGCTAGTGTCAACGAAGAGGCACAGATTAGGGAGTTAAACAGATAGTTGTGGGTACGGAATAGGAATCCAAATTTACGTACTGTGTTAAAGCTTTGGTGCACTTAAGTCATAAGTAGGCCTTTCCACAAATAACATGTTGCAGTGCTGAAGACTAGGATGGAGGCTAAGCTTAAAAAGCCACCCCAAATACTACACATGTGGTAGTATTTTAGTCCTTATGTACAGTTGATGTGATGTCTTCCAAGATTTTATCAACTTAATAAATGTAGATGTAGATGTAGATTTTTGAAAAATATTTTATAGCACTTTTTATAGCTGAATGTTTTATCAACAGCCCTAGTATATCTCTTGGGATACACAGGGTTTTCAATAAGTTTTGAAATAGCCGTCTGAGCTAACTAAAGTAGGTGGCCAACTGATAAATTTTGTTAATAATTTGAGTGAAAATACAGACAAAGTAGGCGGCGATTTTTGCCAGTTGCCGGCTTCTAATGAAACCCCTGGATACACATCCGGGGGGGTGTGGGCACTTGGGTATGATTTGGGTGGGTATGTGCCACACAGGTTTCCAAATCAGGACCCTGTTTTAAAAAGAATTTGCATTCAAAATGATACCTAATTCAATTTTAATACCTCGTTCTATAACTCTTATCAAATTCTCTATGAATACATAATTTCAAATGGCTGCTGATAATTTAATGAGCGACATATTCCTTGCACAATTAGTTTCCATTGTTCAAAGCGCGATTATTCGTAACCTACGATTAAACAAAAAGTTAAATTTAACCCTTCTCGTTAGCCAGGTGGATTAATTCCTTAATTGGTCAACTAAAAATAAAAATCACAGAAAATGGCTGTCTTGTTGTATGGTTGAGTTGGTGTTGATGGACGAAGCTGAAATGAAGAAAATACGAGTTTAGGAGCATCGGGTTTACGATTGATGAATAAACAGATGAAAAAATATGAAAGACACAAGAGATCAAAGTCTGTTAATTTTCACTTCGCTTTGTGTTTCTTAGCCAAGTAAACATTTTAAGTGAGGTAAGGACACTGAAAAACATTTTTTCAAGTGTACATGTAAATAAGAACTCTCTTTTTGCATTGCTCTGAAGGTTTTTTTCACTTGCCTTGTACCTACTGCATTAAACCACAATGGCAAGATCAATGGGAACAATTGCTATTTTTGCAATTTTGCTTCTCAAGTCGCGAACGGAAAAATATAAATCTTGCTAATTTAAAGCACAACATGAATATTTTTGTGCTGGTTAGACTCGATATTCTGTCGCTGCTAGAATCCAATCATTTTCCCAAGTAGCAGCTGGTGATCAAAGCGCATGTTGTAGAAAGTAGACGAGTTAACTGTGACCAATTGAAAATATATCTGTCGCATCTGACCAGGTTCTTCTCTTCACTCCTATCTGTATCGTTACAGCTGGAAGATTTCATTGCATTTTTAGGTTGTCGTCGCAAGCATAAAAAATGGCATTTGAACTGAAAGAGTACATGAACATTGAATTAGCAGAAATTCGGAATCAGTAAATAACAGACCTCTTATCTTGTTAACAATGATTCTTGAACGAGGAAAACAGTATAGTAACAATTATAGTTCAGGAGGCAAATATATTTTTAAGCGAGCCACATGCAATATAAATCAGCAGAAATAAGATAAATGACTTACTGCTTCAGTATTTCCACACAAAAGCCGAAGACAAAGGAAAAAGATAGCAAAGAATATCATCAACTTGTTTGTTGCAAATGTTTTTGTGAGAGCTTTCCAAAGTGTGGTCGGCATCATCGCACATATTTACTGAACAGGTTAAAACATTGCTAACGTAGACAAGTATTTCATTCATGATTGTCCTGCACCTGGTCCATGCATAGTCCTGTGCAGTTTTACTCAGTTTGTGAGACATTTTCCTGATTGACTTTACAAATATATCGACCAATCCGGGACAACGTGTGAATTGTCATTACATAACATAACAGAACATGCGAAAATTGTTTGGAGTTATAATAAGCAGTTGTTTGCTTATCAAGTGAAGCTGTTAGCAGATAAAAATGGAAAAAAGGCTTGTGAACTATGGCCGAAAACTGCTCCTCTCACGGGCCGAATGAACAGCGTTAATAAAAATTGGAAGGTATTTTTGGCGCAGTCTGTTGTTGTGATCACTCATGCATGACACCTCAGATGTGTAGCGAACGAAGTTGCTCTCCTCTGAATGTCATGTACTATTTATTAATAAAGCAAAAATATATCACTAATATGATCTGAATTCTTTTAATCCTAATGCAGGACTGATAATTTGAAAATATAACACTGACCAAAGCAGTGTTTATCTCAAATGTGTTGCCGTTTTTGATCAACTTCTCTAGGTGTAGTTTCTGAACTTCGACTCAACCACTCAACGTCGTTTGATCAATGTAATAGTCGAGTCGACGAAATAATGTGAGAAGGTAATGTAAAATATAAACCAGATTATTCTCTTGACGGTCGCACAGGGGTATTTTTGTGATGCGTGATTAGAAAATGATTCTTCGTGATCCGTGACCGGAAGGTTTTATTCACAATTTTACCACTCTATTTTCCGTGATGTGGAGACGTGAGTCCTCCGAATGGTTAGAGTCTTCTATCAAGAATGATTTAGATATACTATTTGGACTTAGCCTTTCACGAATTCGCTTTCGTCAAGCACTCCCTCTAGTGTAAGTAAGTAGACCCCGACCAGGAATTCCACCACCAACTATCCATCACAAACGGCTACAGGTATAGTTTATCTTGCGGTCTCAATTAGCCATCACTAATAATTAAATAAAATATTGTGTTTACACCAAACAAAGTGTGTTTTTCAGTAGTCACACGATAAAAACCTGTGCCAAACATTTCCTGGAGTTCACTGCCAGAGTTATGAATGTTCACTGTGACAATACTGTGGTGTACTTCCCAAGCATATTGAAGAATTATTTCTCTCGTTGCTCACGCAACTCATAGAGCAAGATCAAGACCAAAGGGTTGCATAAGAAAAATATTTGGCACTGCAACGTGACAACCCAAATAACAGCGCAGCTGCCAGAGACACTACAAAAGAACAGCTAAGAAAACTTAACTCACTGGAAACATTAAAAACAGTAAGATCTTTGTTGAAGGCCAGGACAAGTTCTGATTTTCCAGCTTCCAAATAAAATTGAATCTTTCAGATATATACTTACAACGATTTGATCCAAAATCATGCACATACAAAACATGCATTGAAAATTAGGTTGTTTTGATTCTTGTGCTTTAAACTGGTTCAGTGTAAAGTGTTTCTTTTTCAGCATTTTTCTTTTAACAGTCTTGGAAATTTTCCAATGACCCCCCTCCTGTCTGGATTTTCTAAAATCGGCTCACAAAATAGACACCCCCCTCCCCTCCAGAAATTCCATTTTTGTCACACACCCCCTGGAATATTATCATTCCTTGTGAAAACTAAAACTAAGCTATTTTTTTAGTGCAAGATACCGAATTTTGATCCTTACCTTTTTTGTCCAAAACAGTTGGTGGATACGATGACAAACACATCACCAGAAGGTATGCAGAGCTCTCAATTCTCATGCATTGAGGGTGAGAATCACGCAAACAAATTCAATCTTACGCTCTCGTGCTGAAACTGTTATTTCTCACACATTTAAGACTCCTTGCTGCTTTAGTAAAGTTCCTTCACAATAAACTATTTTTTTTAGATTAAATTTGACTTTTGGATATTGATCTGATTCAGTGATCAGACTGAGAGCCTGTAGAACAAGCGTTATAACATGTTCATTTTACTTCTAGATACATGTAAGTCAGAAAGAGTTGATATTGGTCCAATAAAAAGAAAATTCTGGGATCTAAACAGTTGCTTTTAAAGCATCACATTTCTGCTCAGAATGAAGGAAAACACATCTTAGCTACTTCCATTTTTCAAAATTTCCTGGGGGAACATGCCCCCAGACCCCCCTAGCAGGGTGATGCCTGCGGCAACACAGACAACAGTTTCATCGTTGAAGATCTTACTCTGCCAACAAATCTACTTGAGAGCTCTATGAAACTTGAGAGACTACAGAAACTGACAGCGTCACGCAACGTATCAACAAATCGTGACCTCTTAATAAGCATGGACTTTGACACTATGCATATATGACTGTAAAACCTCGGTTGCTGCTGAAAAATGTGGACTTTGGCAATAGACAAAGGTTGAAAGTCAGCTAGTGAAATCATTTATTTACGATATATAATTATATATTAAAGTGAGAGCGTCGAACGCACTGTCATAATCTCTGATTACTACTAGTTTATAGCCAGGCCATAGTTTGGCTGAACACCGACAATTTCCATTCGACTCCAGCCTCATGTCATAACCATAGCTACATGTAGTTATACTGAGTGCAGAAAAGTTGTAATGTAACCAACTTACCGAAGAACTATTCTTTGTCCAAAAAAAAGCACAATTTCGAAAATTGGATTAATCATACAGCAATTCACAGTAAGATAGAGATCAGACAGAAATTGATGCCGAAATGTCGGCAATGATCGACGCATCGATCCTTCAATTCTGTTCAAGTCTGTCAAGTTACTATTGAAGCACATGGAACATGTTTGGAAAGCTAATATGGAACACAAATCATACATTCTTTACCTTCATTTGCGCCGTAGAGTGGTGGTATTAAGTATCTGAAGTATAAAGCATTCAAAGTAGCGAATAATGAGCGTGTCTGCACTCTGTCTGCACTCGGTTCAGCACGGTGCAATATTCATTAAACATTTTCTGCGCGCCGCCTTCGCGCATCATTAGGTCCCAGCCCCCACTCTATAATTTCTGAACGAAGGAAGGCCTTTTATATGAAGGGGTAAAACACCGCGGTAAAACGCGGTGCGCATGAGTACAAATTTGAGCTTCCGGTAAATTACGCATTTCCGGTTACGTATTAAAATCCAATGTAAACAAGATAAAATCCCGTACCGCGAAGTTTGAAAACAAAAAGTAAGAGTTAGCAAAAGAAAGTAGGGGAAAGGTTTGTCTCGTTGAAAAGTTTATTTTTCATTGAAGTTTCAAGCGCTTGCACCCAGGGGTTTGGTGTTTGCACCAACAACAAAATATGAGAGAATTTCGGGCGCGTTCGCGCTCGACAAGAGCANGTCTATTCTGCACCTTATGTTTTCAAATTCAGCCTAAAAAAACTTCAGGTAAATAATTAATGGGCTGGCTCCCCAACATCAAGTACAGGAAATTGGCCCGTTTTACCGAGGTAAAATAGACATCTCCCCTTTGCATAAACACCGCGGTAAAACGCACTGCGCCTGAGTACAAATTTGAGCTTCCGGTAAATTACGCATTTCCGGTTACGTATTAAAATCCAATGTAAACAAGATAAAATCCCGTACCGCGAAGTTTGAAAACAAAAAGTAAGAGTTAGCAAAAGAAAGTAGGGGAAAGGTTTGTCTCGTTGAAAAGTTTATTTTTCATTTAAGTTCCAAGCGCTTGCACCCAGGGGTTTTGTGCTTGCACCAACAACAAAATATGGGAGAATTTCGGGCGCGTTCGCGCTCGACAAGAGCAATTTTTTCCCACGTAGTTCTCCTTGTTGCGCTGCTTTGGTTGTGCGGTTCCTCCGCAGAAAAATGTGAAAAAGCCGACAAAAGCAGCCTTAAATGTGCGGGCAAAAAATACTTTCTGTCTGAAGATTTAGCCAGAGCTGCCCAACTCCAAGAGGGCTCAACAGTTACAAATGCTGTGCCAGAGTAGACGAAGAAACAAGATTTACCTCGCATCCTTACTACATGCCGCCGGTGTTACGAACTACTGAACAGGTCAGTTAATTAGACATCGGTTAATTATAATTGACACGCAGGTTCGCACTGCCTCGGATTGCTGCAAAGATTTTCGGAATCTCACCAGCAAATTAAATGAAATTGCGGAGAAGGAAAGTATACTCTTTCAAAGATTTTTGTTGCAGCAATAAACAAGTTGTTTGTATCAAACTTTGTAAAATTTGCGGCGAAATAGACACGATACAAAAAATTCATTTTTTATTAAATAGTTGATTATATTTCATGTTAAATGATCTCAGGTCTTACGCGTGTATGGTTCTCTACTAGGATGGAAATAAACAAACCTCAGATGACAAACTTCAAAAGGTATTCATATAAAAATTATCTCTACTATTTTTTATTTTACTCTTCTTGACTACAGTACAGTGCAGTACGGTCAATTGCTTCACTGAAATTCATTGTTGCAGTGTAGGTAGCAAAATGCTACCGCAGGCGGTTCGGTCTAAAATTGGTATATTTTGGAAAGAAAAAGGTAGTCACAGAAGTTGAGAAACATTATTTTGAAAAATTAATGGCCAAACGAATTTAAAGAAAAATAATAATTTTAAAGACTACAAAACAAGCACTTTATGCGACTTGACAAACTTATCTTTCCTAAGACCATAGTAAGTAGTAGTAAGACTAAACCCCTAAAATTGAACAAAACAATTTTGTCTGAAATCATATAATTACACATCACATATACTTATTGAAATTATGTAGTACTCCANAGCAAGTGACAATTCAGCCTTTCAACAGTCGCTGTGAACCTGACGTTACACCTATGGACACACACTTTTTGAAAAAAATCACAACAAAAATTCACCTACTCCATTTTTCATTTAGTGAGGCGATATGCTTTTTGGACATCCAATTTTCAGTATCTGGATACAAACAAACTCATCACTAATATGTTTATTTATTTTTCTTTTTTTTATTTAGATCTTGCAATTTACTCGCTCACCAATTTTAGGACTACACAAGGACTTAAAGCACCAACACAGCAGTAGTGAAGGCCTCCAAAAAGTTCAGAACCACCTCCAATTGCTGTTCCAAAGACTTAAATTTCTAGAAGAGGCTTGTGGAATAGACTTGCAGTACCCAAAAAGCCAGCAAACATCCATGGTGGAAATACAAACATCATTTGGGGTGGTAAAAATAAATGGCTATGGTGAAGTTACAGTGGATAAAACAGTTTGGAACAGGATGGCAAAAGTAATCCATGACTTTACTCAACTATCAGGTTAGTATCACTTACTTGAATTGTAAAGATACAATCAACATAACATACTGTAATGTTGTTCAGGTGACCAGTAAGGGTACAATGTAACAGACACCCTTTGAAGATTATATTTCTGATACAGGTATTGTACTTGTGCAATCCAATAAGTAAGATGATGTGTTAAGACCACCACATGACAATGATTGACACAAGCAGAGCATCAAACATTTATACAAATAAATGAAATAAATAAAATTATTTCAATCATTTATTTAAATAAATAAAATAAATATTTGCATTTTCTATTAATTTCAGAAAATTCATTTGACCAGCTGATCGGAAAGTTTAAGATATCCTTGCAACATCATTATGAAAGCAGTGATGCTGTGCCACTGTATGATCCTGGAAAGATGAAAGAGTTTGCGGACAAAAGTGCACCTGGTCTTTTCAATGTCATTTTGCAGTCTATTCTTCGGGAAGATCCAAGATTGAGTGAAGAACACCGTGTATTACAGGAAAAAAGAACTGTTGTTTTGTTGCACATAATAGCATATTTCAGGTACTTTGCCCTGTTTGGTCTTTGTTCAAGTACATATATTTAAAATTCAAGTCTCCTTGAAAGACCATAAGGTCACTGGGTTTGAAAAGTATGTTTAATTAATTACTGCATGTTTCTTAACTAGAACAGAAGACACAGATTTACCCCAATATAAATGTCAGTGCTATTATAATTACAACAAAGTTAAGATTACTACAGTAGATGTTTTACTTTTCTTCACATTTAACCCCTTGAAAAGTAAGGACATAAAAGTGGTTCCAGTGACCTAACTTGCAATAATATCATTCTTTTTATAGGTCTCAGAAAACAAATACACTTCAAGGAGAAGAGGGATTATTTATCCAGCAACATGGGGCATCCAGAGATGTTATCAATTCTGGAAGAATTTTAGGTTTCAGCACAAACCCAAGGGATGTGGATGGTCAAAAAAGCAGGCTCCTCAGGGACCAGCCAATGTTTGTAAACCTTCAGATTTCAAATGCACTTCAAGTGAGTTTAAATTAGTTTAACTATAACTTTAAAGTACTGTAAATTAAAAACTTGTCCAGTTAGTTGAACAGTTTTTTGAATACATATGGATAGGCTAGCAAAACAGTAGACCAAGAAGGAAATACTAGGTTATTGTAACATAGAAAATCATATTAGTCAATGAAATGATTTTAAATATTACTAAATTTATTAGTGATGAGATCAGTGAGTTACTACACAGTTCTGTAATGGTGTTCTGCCAGAAAAGTTAAAATTAAAAAGTAAAAAGGCAGTGACTTAAAATGTGGATGGTTCCTCTAAAGAGGTGTCCACCTACAGTCTACTGTATGTATATTCGCCCATAAAAGCAAATTTTACAGTAAAAATACTGACAGGTAATATTTTGATCATTGTTTACAGGACAAGAGCCTAATGATTTACCTGTTGGATGACTTTCACAATATCCAAACTGTAAGACTGCCGGGTGCTACCATGAAACTTTCCCTGGCTACACACATGGCATCAAATCTGTTGGACATTCACCAAAGTGTACCTGCTATTCTTCTTCCTTCCAACAAGTCAAAAATTCATAGAATTGTCACAGTCAACTGCAAAGGTCAAAACAAGCAATGTAGAGGAGTAATTGATACCAACTATCTTTCCCAACTTCTAAAAGACTGCAGTGGTCCATTCAAGTCAACATTTCTAGCAAGTTTAAGTGATCATTTCCGGTCATTGAAGCCGAGGGACATCCAGGCGCAGTTGAAAGAATTTAGGTATCGAGCATAGAAATATTTAGTAACACTACATGCACTTGCATCACTAGTATACTGAATGAAAAATCAATCTTGCCATAACAAGGGACACAAAAACAAGAAGAAAGTCTTGCTTTCAGTGAAAATATTTTCTTGCCTAAATATATTCGGGGTCTGAACAGTATGGATATAGTTTGTCTAATAACATTTCACCTGTTGTCATCAAAGAACCACATCTTCAAATCTTCCTTTATTGACAGAGTTTACTCGGGAAGATCAAATGATGACCTCAGCCATTTGACTTCATGTGTACTGATAGATGAGTTTGAGCAGTCTTTAAAAAGCAAGGAGGACTACATGAATG